GGTTCCAGATTCTCGTGATCACGACCTGGAAAATATTGAGCTGTCTGGAGATATCCAGCCGTCTTTGATCCGCCTAGAATATGTCAACCACTCGCCATTTTTTGCTTTCATCTAAATACCTTTCATTCATGTTTGAAAACATCTTTCATGCTTATGAATCTTAGTTAAACACTGAGTTTAACCTATTTACACGTTCGATGTCGAATGTATTTCCTTTTATATTTTTCTTGCGTTTATATTATTCACATATACAGGGTTATTAAAAAAGAAAGAGCAGATTGCAAACATGTATTTCTTCCAAACTACAAAAGATAAAAACATGATTTTAACGTTAATGGATAGAGAAAAGTGTACAATTTAGTACGGGTAAGAGTTCCAATCATGGCCGCATTAGCGCTGTTGTTTGTTCTAGTATTATTTGTCGGTTGGTAGTCTGTAGTGAAATGGCGGCGACACCACAGTAGAGTCTTTTCGTGTTCTACAATTGGCAAAACTAGGAGTCCCATTGTTACAGTTCAGCGAACATTTCGCCGTCAATTTAATAAACAACCACCGCGTCATAAGCAAATTTACGAGTGGCATCGAAAATTCGTAGAAGATGGTTGCATCTGCAAAGGGAAAAGCACGGGACGTCCACGCACATCGAACGAGAATATCGAGCGCATTCGCGTATTCGCACACGAAACGAGCCTAAAGAAAGCAAGCAAATAACATCGCGAGCAAGCAAAGAACTTAAAATTCCTCAATCATCGGTATGGCGAGTTCTAAAACATCGTCTGCACATGAAGCCGAACTGCAGTTATTGAACGCATACATTGAATGCATAACCATAATTGTAAACTTTTCTCTATCCATTAACTTTAGAATCATGTTTCTATCTTTTGTAGTTTGCAAGAAATAAATGTTTGAAATCTGCTCTTTCTTTTTAAATAACCCTGTATAATGCGCAAATACTTGCACAGCTATAGAATTTTTAGTATCTTGTAATTATCGTGAGAAATTTCTGTCAATTGAGTATTAGTCATTCATTATCTAGTCAGGAACACTTTTACAATTACTCTTTAATTTTGAACTCCAGTCTGCAAAAGAACGTTTTTAATTTTTTTTTTTCTGGATAATTATCCATTTCATGGATTTTTTTGCATTGAAATCAGTATTATTATGATCCAGCAGTTTCCTTTAAATGAATATTCAAATGAAAGGGAAAAACATTTTTCTCATTTTAAGTCAAAAGTTACGCGTAGAACGTCAAGAAGAGCTTAATCTTGCGTCAAATAATTTGCCGAATTGTGAATGTAAAGAAACTTCTCTAAAAGGAAATTGTTTCTCTGGTGAACGTGCAGATGACGTCAGATCAAAGCGTTCTTACTGTGCCTCAAACTGCAGTAGCTAAAATATAAACTTTGTATGCAAAACAATGACAGAAAATTCATGATTCGCTTTATTTCATTTGTAATGGACTTCTCTTTTGTAATGGATTGGAGCCGAATAAAGGATGGTGTGGATGTAATTCTGTTCCGACTTGGCTAGAATTTAAATTAAGACCTCATTAGTCTGAAGGCCAGTGTTTTATATCTCCAACTATTTTATAGATTTTAATAGGCCAGGGAGCACTATAAGTTCATAGCTATTATAAATACACATATTTCACGATCTTTTGATTTTGATTCGATGCTCACGGGTGTCAAAAAATCGTGAGCTGGCATCACTGCATGCATGAACTTCAATTCAATGTTTAAAAGGGAAAAAAGAAAAGAAAAGAAAAAAAAAAAAAAAAAAAAAAAAAAAAAAAAAAAAAAAAAAAAAAAAAAAAAAAAAAAAACAGAGAGAGAAATCAACCGCCTCTGGTTATATGCCCTTCCTAATCGAACAAGCTACAGTGGGCGTTGCCCTCGGTAATTGATCCATTTATCATTTTCACTCCTGGAACAGTTTTATTATGGAAGTATACATACATTATTATGCAGTTCGGCCTTTTCCTTGTTGATTTATTTGCACGAGCATATTGATTTATGCGTTCGAAATGACCGTGAGGGCGGTCCGGTTTGTCGTCGGGCGGTCCTCCTGGTAATGAAGAACTTTGGATCTAGAAATCTCGTGTCCCTGTTGTTGATATGTAGCATTTCAGATGTTTGTTACTTAGAGAAGAATAACAATGATATTTTCCGCCGATACACAACTGCTACGGAAAATAAAGAATAGAAAAGAAGCTATCGCATGTTAAGAGTGTGCGTGGTTTTGAGTCACGGCGATTCGCTATTTTTTACCTTTTTCTGTTCAGCCGCCCAGACGGAAAAGTGGTTACTAACACTGACTGCCGTAAAAGGTCCAGTTTCGAATCTCAGAGAAGGATGAGCATGGATGTAAATTGTTTGTCCCTTCATAGGAGGGAACAATGGCAGCCTATTAGGTGCCTCCATAATAAAAAGGCCACCGTATAAGGTATTTCTCCCACTTCAACGGTAGCACGCTGGGCCGGTATTCCAGACGTCCCGTGGTTCGATTCCCGGCGAAGGCGTTTGCTATTTTTCATCTTTTCTGCCTCTAAAAAAATCCTAATGACTCTACAACCGTTTCTTGCCTTAGTAGTGGCCAAAGCCTAAAACAACAAGTGCCCACAGTAAAGAAAAAGAAGAAGGAAAGAAAATCTGAAAGCTTTCAGATTTTATATTACGCCCAAAGGGACTCTTTTTAACGCTTTGTGTGTTACCTTTATTTATTAAATGTCATGCTCTTTGCATCCCTTAAACCATAAAATTCAATTCAATAACAACATCACAAAATATTTAATAGAGCATACCTTTAGAATTTTCGATACACAGTCTCGCGCGCTGGAGATAAAAATGTTTCTCTTTTTTTCCCATGCAATATCGCCATGGCTCGCTTTGAAATCGTCGAGTTTCTTAAAACTCATAAATTCTTTACAAAATATGAAACAGATAATAAAACAAATTCCAAATTTGGGCTTCCAGGTTTCCATATTCGGTAGAAAATGACGTTATTCAGAATTTGATGGCTCTAGGTACCGTTGTTTTATCACAGTGCGAGAAACATACATACATTTATGCAGATTCTTCAATATTTAATTTCTTTAGATAGCTCTAATATTTGGTGGCAGCAATTTAAAAGGTCATTCGCCGTTTATAGTGAATCCACGCAAAATGGCAAAACGAACTTAATAGCCCTTCCGGACAAATCGCCCCTTTGGGCTAAAAAAGAAAGATTTCAGATTTTAACGATCGCTTAAACGGATTTGTTCAGGTTTTTTTAAGCTCTCGCTTATATCGCAGTCTATTAGTCTGCTTAGTGCAATCACTCCTGCTAGCTTTATTATTCCGCACCATTTTCTTCGCACTTACGCCATGTACGATTGAACAGCAAAATCATAAAAAATTTAAAAGCATAGTAGCATATATTTGTAATTCCCGATGCAGTCATAAACATAATGCTCCTTTTTCTCAGTTGTAATTCCCCCAAATAGAGAGTGAATTATTTTTACTTCCTTCCACGAAATAAAGGAAGTATTGTAATCGCGAAAAATTTCGGGTATCATATTTCAATGAAAATATGCATTTCAACCGCTCTCGAAACCATTTGAACTCTTTGATGTTTTTGCGTGACATCCGCGCGTGCTGACAGAATAAGGGACTGTTTTTAACAAAATAGGATTGTAAATTCGATTTAAAATGGATTCAGAAGAGATTTCTTTTGACGTCTGAGTACGTACGCATGTATGTATTTCGCATAACTCAAGAACGAGTCTCAACAGAACGTTTAAATTTTGTATATGGGACTGCTATAACATGTAGTCATGCATCTTCTTTTTTCATTGCAATCGGATGCATCAATCTTATATACATGTATAATGGTATCAATGTATATTATGTAAATTTTATTTTACAATTTTACTGTTATCAGCAAATTTTATTTTATCATTTTTGTCTAACGAGAAAATTATTGTACACTTGTTCTTCCTAGTTTAATTGTTTTAACGAGTTTGCACTATTTTAATATGACAAAAGGCGAATGTGTCGGGGAGCAATTTTCTCAAGTGAGAAAATTAAACTCTTGTAAGAATTACGTATTCCGAGTTGAAGACTGCATTTAAAGACTGATAAATCCTCCAATTTTTTACTGATTTTGAATCAGCACTATGAATAATTTTTAACTCAATAGTACTTAATAGCTTTCTTAGTCTTGATTCTTGAGAAAAAGACGAAACACTTTCGTTTCTAATTATTATTGTTAATTGCTAGGAAGTTAGTTTGTTCCCCTTGAAAAGTCAACTAATTTCTGGTCAGTGACGATAATTACTTAGTTTGTTGGTTACATTGCCGCTTTTAACTATTTCATTTTAAGCCTAACTAAACTGCCGTTTGATTACATTTGAAACACAGTGGAATAGTGAATTCAGTTATTGCACCTTAAATGTCTTTTTACAGAGGGGGACCAAAGGCAGACCTTTCAGTTTTGTGCACCGAAAAATCTGCGTTCCTGCCCGCTGCCGGAATTGCTTGTTTTTGCGTGGAAACTCTAATTTTAATTGTAAAAATTGTTTAACTGTATTTGGTGTTTTATGCTTTTCTGTAGCGTAACAATTGTGTATGAAGATGTTTCAAGTTTTTATGTATTTTTGCTTTGCCGCGAAGTGAGAACTGAATTATTTGAATGACAAATTTATCACTAATGAAATTCGAAGAAATAAGTTCAAATGAAATACAGCAAAAAATGGGTGTAAGTTCCTAGGCCATTACAAGGAAGTCATGTGGTGTCCACATCAGATTTTTCCTTTCTAAAATACTAGAAAAAATGAATGGTCGAGAAATATGTAAACTGGTCTTACGTTTCGGCCAATACAGTTATGTTGTTTTAAATGCGTTTGGTATTAAATATATCATTTAAAAACTAAAGTAAAAGGGCAATTCCTGAAGTAGTGCATTCCTCTGACTAATTTTAGAATTTTAACTTTTCTATTTCTAAATCTGAATGTTCTTTTGCAGACAATTTTAAATTCGATGCACAAGTACCAGCCAAGGTTTCACCTAGTGAGGGCGAATGACATTCTCAAATTACCCTATTCCACCTTCAGGACGTATGTCTTCAAAGAGACGGAATTCATTGCTGTCACTGCTTATCAGAACGAAAAGGTAAACATGCTTTAAAATGGCAATTCTTCCACCGTTTTTAAAAGTATTTTTCGCCAGTTTGGAAAACCGTTTATCTTTCAAAATTTCTGAATTAAAGAACTTCTGAAAATATTCATTAACATTTTTTGAGTAATAAAATTGAAGAGGTTTTCTTTTATGATAGTGTTACTGTGTTGTTTTGATGCTAATGATGTTTTCGCTTGTTTGTTTTGAGTCACTGTTTGTGGTATTAATATTAGGTTTTATAATATTTTTAGACGTATTTACTACTGAAACAAATAAATTCAGAATCTAGTTCCAAAGACATTTAAATTGCAGTTTAAATCTTAATGTGCTGTGAGTTTAAATCTTTTTGAAGGTGTGGAAAAGCTCTAATTGGAGATTATACGAGCTCAGTTACAATCGAATCCAAAATATCAAGTCGTCTGTTCTACTCAACCATCCTTCCCACCCCAGATTGCAAACGTTAATTTCTGCACTTGAATTTGGTAGTGATCTGGTAGTGGTGCTATGTATATGAGTAAAATTTTTATTTAGATTTATAATTTTATGTATTGTTAAAAACAATTAAGTTTAGTAATAAAAGTACTTAAATCAATTTTTAATTAAAATTACTTATTAAATGAAAATCCGGTTTAATTAGAAACAGCACAAATATTAACAGCGTATAAATTTAATCCTTTCAAAACACTTACCTCAGTTCCAAAGTAAGCTGGTAATGAATTATTAGCAATAGATAGAATAAATTACGACATTTAAGAACTAGTATTTATAACAAATTGCAGTCTGATAGCCTTAAATGATATTTTCATATAACAACGAAAAAATTATTAAAAATTAGGAAAAATTAAAAAATAATCTTACAAATATTTACTTTTTCCTGTTAAATGAAAACAGTAACTGTTGTTATCAACTCGTATAAAAATATTTACATCTTTATTGTGAATAACGTTAAAACCCATTTCAAACAGAATTTTAAAAAACTCTTATTTATGAAAACTCCTATGCTTCAGTCTCCTCCATCCTTTTTAATAGAACAAGATTTATAAAAAAAAATATTATCAAAATTCTAGAAATGTATATTATCGTTTAAATTGATAAACAGAGAGAGAGAGAGAGAGAAAGTTTGGTGGTGATATTTTTGTGGGTGCCTGTATAACTGTAATAAGTGTTGTAATTGAATAAATGTAATTGATCACTATATGCAACTGTAACCATATCCGGCCCTTCGACATAACTTTAATCGTATACGCCTTCTAGTAATTTTAAAAAATGGAAGGTACTAGAGATTTCTAGGCGGCTCAGTCATTTAGTTCAACGTGAGTTCGGAATATTGAGAGATCTCCGTAGAAGCTTCGCCTTTTAGATGCGCTTTCCATTGCGTTGTGTTTAACGTTCTTAATAGTTTGAAGTGTCACTACGGATTTCACTCTGTGATACTGAGGAGAACTGTATAAGGTATTTCTCCCGCCTTCCTAGCGTGCCTTCGTGGTGTAGTGGTTCTGCACGCTGGGCCGGTATTCAGGAGGTCCGGGGTTCGATTCCCGGCGAAGGCGGTTGCTATTTTTTCATCTCTCCTTCCTCGAAATAACCTAATGTCTCTACAGTGGCGCCCGAACTAAAAAGGATGTTGGATGAGGATTCTTCACACCCAGGATTTGGCGATTGGGTCCCCTAAAAACCCCAGTCGCTCCTTAAAAAGGGGAGTATATAATGTATTTCTCCCGCCTTCCTAGCGTGCCTTCGTGGTGTAGTGGTTCTGCACGCTGGGCCTGTATTCCGGAGGTCCGTGGTTCGATTCCCGGTGAAGGCGGTTGCTAATTTTTCATCTCTCCTTCCTCGAAATAACCTAATTTCTCTACAACTGTGCGAGCATTTTTGTGGAAAGTTCCAAAACCGTAAAGGTTTTCTTTTGGTAAAATAAATGTTATCAAGTTATCATCGGTTCTGTGTGCATTCAATATACAATATTCAATATTCGAACCCGAATGCACGCAACATTGTTATTGTTATTAACATAAATTTTCAAAAATTTCTTTTAAATGGCTTAATTTGTTAAACAGAACAGTTATAGTGTGATAAATAAATCAAAGGAATAATTTAGGAATTGGATTTTTGTAAATCGCTCTAAATATAAAATCTTATGTTCAGCTCAATGGCAACACTTTTAAGGTCACTGGGCGACAGATGCCTTGGTAGCATAAGTAAATAATAGTAAAACAAAGAATTACCTAAAAGACGTTTGTAGCATTAAAAATAAACTTCCTTATATTCAGACCATACGCACTTACTCAAAAATTATTAAGTTTATATGATTGAATCTTATTTCAATAAAATAAAATAATAAAAGAATCTTTTCAGTATTGTGCACACCCTTAGGGAACATCAGAATCAAATGAAACGTGGAGGCGGAAAAAAAATTAATTCTCAACTAAATGAATTACTAATTAAAGACAGGCACAGTCATGGTTATCACTGGAGATGATTCCTTTTTCTGATTTACTTAATTTAATCAGAATTTTATCTGCTGAAAACTTACCCCGGGGAACGGAAAAAAAAAAAAAAAAAAAAAAAAAAAAACATATCTGCTAATGAATTGCTGCTATAATTTACAGCACAGGCTTGTATCATATCAAAATGAATTCTTTTTTTTTTTTTTTTTTTTTTCAGTTTCCATGGTATCTGTATTAGTTTGCTACTAATACGAGCATTTCCAGAATTACTGTGATGAATAAAATGGCTGAATGTTCTGTTGCTGTTCACTCTCCCGAGTTACCAAAATTAGCATATTAATTCATTAGCTCTTCTTGGGAGAACAATTAAGGATTTAAATTGATAAAATTCCGTTAAAATATGCAATTGGACGCGCAAATCTCACACTGCTTGTTTAATCAGCTGAAGGAAACGTAGCATTTGCATTCGTAATTGCAATTAAAACGAGAGCCTCTCATTAAGGAATTCTGTTTCCGAGGATGAAGGTTGTAAATGTAAATAAACAAGCATTTAAAGTGCGCAGTACGAAAGGGAATTCCAGGCTGTTTATTAGTGCGATATGAATTATTCGAAATGTTTTCGATTTGCAGACTTAGAAATGTTTATGCAATTTAAGGAAATGAAAACAGAGAATTTTAAACACTAGGAATAATTTCATAAATAGCGGAATAAGTTCTAATGTTCCAGTTCACGATATAATAGAGTCCACTTTCTTCTACAAAGTTCTGTAAAAGAAGAATTCAAACTGAATTTGAAACGGGGACTTTCAGATTCAATGTTTGAATGAATATGTAATTTATTATTTTTGAAGACCGATAGCGCTTTGCATTAAAGACTTCAACAACTCTTTTAAATTTAATTCAAGGCTTTAATACAATGTTAAAATTTTTAAGCATCATAAAATCTAAACTGAAATTGTACTGTAAAAATCTGAATTCTTAAAAAATCTACAAAGGGTATTTTTTCGCCATAAATCGATATTTGTAATGTTTATCATATTTTAAATATTTTCTGATACTAATGTTTTGAAACACAATTCAACTGCCATGACCTTTATTCAGCGTAAAGATATGCATATGAATTACTTTCAATTTTAGCCCACCAGCGGCCGAGCGGTAAAGTCGCTGAACAATGGTAGTTCGGTCCGAGGTTCGCATCCCGCGAACGGGCTGGCTGCATGGGTGTTTTTGTGGCTTTTCCCATGTGTAACGTGCATACGAGCCAGTTTCCCTTAGAAAGTCCTCCGCGAAGGCATCCCTCCCCTTAGGCAGAGATAGCCCTAGTGTGCTTTGCCATAATTAAATACACCGTACCCCCACCACTTTCAATTTTATATTACGATAGCTAAATTAACTCATCTTCGATTAGTTTCCACTTTCTCCTTCTCCGTTTTTCTATGGAATTATATATATATATACTTTTTATTCAATAACTTTAACTTTCAAGAACGGCCTTTACTTAAAAACTTGTGAGTCAATGCCTAAAAGATTAAATGAACAAATATTGAAACAAGAATGACGTGACAAATGAAGTGAATAAGGTTACCGAAGCAAATGCAATGTGAGTTTTGTCATTTTCGGCTATTACTAAAAGTTGTTCGATTATTTTTGTGAGACTATTTTTGCTCATTAAACAAATGATATTGGTTTTTGAATTTAATTTTCATCTTTTCGAAAAATGCATTTACAATAAAAAATGTTGAATTCATATATAATTAAAACAAAAGCCTTTCTTTTTGTTATAATTTATTTTAGTTTTTATGCTCATTAAAAAATACAAAAACTCAAAGTGCTCACTCATATTTGTGAGTCACTGTACGTGTGAGTACTTTACATTTGAAAAGGAAACCAGCAAAAGTAGCACTTTTAAAACTGAAATTCGTTTTCAATTTGACTTTTCATTTTTTTCAGCAATAAAGATTTAGTTTTATGTATTAGCAGCAGCAAATATTACGTTTATTTAAGAATAAAAATATTTGTGATTTTTTTCATATTTTTTAGTTTTGTACACATTTTTATTTTAACGGTAAACTCTTCTTCATTGCATTAAACTGTTATCTGAAGTTTACACATTGAAAAAAAAAAAAAAAAATTAGGGGGGGGGAGAAAAATTCATAAGCTCGTCTCGATTTCAAAATGTAGCATTGCATAACGTCAGCCACGATCTGGACGTACAAATCGCTCAAATTTAGAAGAAGAAATTGACCTTCTACTTGTTGCGTCACGCAGCAATTAGCTAAAAAATTTTATGACGAGCCGCTTGTATCATGAAGTACTCAATTACATTAAAATTGCATTTATTATGATCAAAGGTGTTCCGTTTAAAAGATTTAAAACTTTATTACTTAATTTTCCAAAACTAAACGTAATCTTCAGTCTTGAGGCCAGCTTTTTTCCCATTGATCTTTTTCATGAACCCAAGAATTCATAAGGGCATCCTAAGTTTACCAACATAAGTTCCTAAGTTTACCAACATGAGTTCATAGACGGAATAATATTTATTTTAGTTTTCTTGTTAAATTTCATAAGAAGTAAAAAGTCATCTGGGCATACTTTGATGAAGACAGATAATATTTTGATTATTACGAAATAAATCGGGATATCGGAAACATTTGACTCTAAAATATTCGTAACAGGTATGATTAGTATTTTTTGTTTGTTTTTTGATGGGATACAATTTTTAAAGCTTGAACGTTACAAATAAAACCTACAACCATAAGAATAATTTTATAATTTGTATATTCATCCAATTCGTAGAATCAGTTTTCCCATTCAGTTTGAAAAATAAATTCAATAATTATAATGCAACAATATTTTTTTCTCAACCTGTAGAGATATTAGGGGTGAATCTTTACATTATGGTAACTTGACGATTTTTGGCGAAAATTTGGCGACCAACCCTGCTACAGCAACCTGCTAGTTTTGTTTTGGACGCCATTTTGTTTTCACAAAGTAAAGGTTTTTTTTTTTTTTTTTTTTTTTTTTTTTTTTTTTACTCAACATTTTTTCCAACAATCTGCTAGCCGAATTACGCTTATACTAGAACTTTTATGGAACAAAAATGCTTAATCATGACGAAGATTTAGGTGCAAAATTGGGAGAAAGTGCAGAATCGCAAACTGCTTGCCACGTTTCTAAGAATTGCACATACAGGGTATCCATGTACACATCGACCTATTTTCACTTAAAAAAACATCCCAGAATTGCACAAAAATGGCATTGCGCACACTCTATCTATGTACACATACACCTATTTTCACTTAAAAAGTCAAAGAAAATTGACAAAAATCAAATTCTTCTTACTCTTGTAAAAAGCGCCAAACAAATAAGTGGGCAATTCTACACTTTAGCAGCGAAATTGTTTCTAAGTGCTTATGAGCTAAAATCCCGATTGGGATTTTCCGGAAAATGTCACATTACATGTCTCATAATCTCTCATTTTCCTGAGACAAAATAATCTGTGATTCGAACTGTGTACTTCTCAGATTATTGTTAAAGTCCTAGCTAGTAGCTTTTATTGCCTTACCAAAATGTCGCCAAACTACCTGTTACCATATTCTAATGATTAGCCACATTAGGTAATTTTTGAAAGCAGGAGAGATGAAAAATCAGCAATGCCCTCGCCAGGACTCAACCCACGGACCTCTCGAATACGCGTCGAGCGTACTGATGCCATGCTAAAAAATACGGGAAAACACCTTATAAACCAAATCTGCCGCAAAAAGATGTGTAGCTTCAGGTTGATGCTTTTCTTCCAGGCGATGGGTGCGACCCTTGTAAATTATTTCAAAGTGAAGATATTTGTGAATTATTCGACGGTAAATTCGTTTAGATGCATTTAATTCATTTTTTCCAGGCGTTACGTACTACAGCTTCGCTGTTAAGTGGTCCAGAACTCTCTCCTGTGTGAAATCGTTTAAAAGGAATTTGATGAACCTTTCAAATTCTTACCTGGGATTAGACTTTTATTTTTTCCAAAGCTGTTGATTTCAGTATCTCAAAAATACATGGAGCACTTTTTTTCTTTCTTTTCCCCTTAAATGTTTTATAATAAAATGCACTTCAAATTTAAATAACATGGCCAAATATTTTTTATTTCATTTTTTATGATTTCAAAATAAAAATATTTCCGAAAAACGTGCAACGTAACCCATTCGTTAACCGTGTCGATTTTGGGTTAATTGTTGCTCTAAATATTAAAAATTATGTACTAAAGGGAAATGTAATGCATTTTTAACAGCATATACGTCATTCTGCTGTGTGAGCTCACTTTGAAGACATAAAAGATTCAAATTAAATTGCTGTTGGGAAATTTTATTAACGTTCTGTACTTGTAAAGTTGACCAAGCTGCTTTCTTAAATTCTACATATTGCATAATACTTACATTTTATATATTACATCTTATATTTCTTAACAGAAGTATTTATGTTATCTAAGGTATTTCTCCCACCTTCTTAGCATGCCTTCTTGGTGTAGTGGTCAACCCGCTCGGCGCGTATTCGAGAGGTCCGTGGTTCGAGTCCCGCCGAGGGCATTGCTCATTTTTCATCTCTCCTGCTTACAAATAACCTAATGTATCTACAGTGTATAACAATGAAGTATTCAAGAGTGTTCGGATGTGTACAAGTGTGCGTAAATGCATGTAAAGTATGTGGTGATACACAAATATTCTTTTTCGAGTGCAGCAACTCGAATTTTGTTTTTGCGACAGAGGATGAGTGTGTCTTATCGGAAAGTATCAAAATATACACGGATCTAGTTCAGATGTCAAACAACAAACAACAGCGTTATATTTTAAAATTTTCACAGGACTAGTTCCGATGGTTTTACCGAGCCACCATCCTCAGCTGCAAATGTGCAAATGAACGAGATAGGATACAATGATTAGATAAGATAAGAAACCCTGGACAATAATAAGCAAGTGGCGCCATCTGTTGATGAAACCAGAACTAAAACATAATTTCTTTAAAGGCCGAAGGCAAAGACGGATTGGAATTAGGATCGTTAACTAGAACAGAAAGATTTTTTTGAATATGAAATGCCTCTAGAAAATCCAGTTCTCCAATGGAAGATGTTTTTTTGAATAATTTTGGCAGTAAAAAAAATTTAAAGTGTGATTTTCAGACCAACAATTTTGGGCAACGGAAGACTTCTGTGTTTGCTTTCTTCTATTATATGCCTCATGTTCCTTGAGGCGAAATTTCAAGGCTCTCTTAGTTTAGCCAATGTAAATTAAACCAAACTGGCAAGGAATCCTATAAATACCCCAGGAATTCATATCCGGAATGGGGTCCCTTGAGTATGGAACTCGGAATTTTATTGATGGGAGAATAAACGACCCGAAAGTTAAATTTCTGCAAAATATGTGCAACTTTATAGCTAATTAATGAAAAGAAGGGAATGACAACAGAATTTTTATCATCTCCTAAAACAAGAGTGTGCTTTTTAGTGTGTTGAGATGAGAATTTTATAACTGCTTGATTAATAACGTTGGGTGAAAAGCCCCTGTCAATAGTTATTGCTTTAAATAATAATCTAGCCCAGGCTTTCTTATTTTGTCTGATCAATGTATCCTATCTCGTTCATTTGCGCGTTTGCAGCTGAGGATGGTGGTTCGATAAAACTATCGAAACTAGTCCTGTGAAAATTTGAAAATATAACGCTGACGTTTGTTGTTTGACTTCAGAATTAGTATTTGTTCAGCGTGTTATTGTGTCTTAATACACGGATCTGCTTGTGAGGTATGGATTTTAAAATGTAATGAATAATAAACTGTTGTCGGTAAATATGATATTTTACACTAGTCGCGAAAATGTGCCCAATGTTAAGAGGGCCTTATGCTCTTCGAATATGTGACTATTGCAAGAATTGGGATATTTTATTTATTTTAAAAGCAATTACTCCCAACTTTTCACAGCTGACTATATAATATAGCTGCTTTGGAAACTAGTAATCAGAAAGTTTGTGTTGCCACAAATATTTTTGTAATTTAATCCGCTTTGTGACAAAATTTTTCCTCATGTTTCCACTTTGCGCGCATGATATTTTATAAATGTCCAATGGTGCATACTTGAAATTTGATCGAATTCTTTATATGGGCACTATTTTCTAACTGAACCAAAAATATGATGAATGTTTTAATAGTAAAAAAATTTATGCACGAAAATATTACAGATTTTTTTAATAAAACACATTTTATAAACTCAACTCCAGATAAAATAAAAATTCAACATGAAATTCTTAGAATTTTTGGTTCACAGTAGTTTCCAAATGTTATGAAAGCTATATATTAAATATGGAATTAAATTATGCAGCAAAATGTTTTAAACTGTGCGCGCAAGGTGGAAACATGACGAAAAATTTTGTCATAAAGCGGATTCAATTATAAAAATATTTTTGGCAACACAAACTTTCTGATTGCTATTTCAGAAAGCAGCCATATTATGTAGTCAGCTGTAAAAAAAGTTGAAAGTAATTGCCTTTACAATAAATAAGTTATCCCAATTCTTGCAACAGTCATATATTCGAAGACCGTATGGGTTTTAAGGTGTACGAGTCCCTTTAAAACCATATAATTATTTCAGTACTATTCAGTACTTATTCAGTACTAATAAAGAAAAAATGAATGAAATCAGTGATGCTCCGCTTTCAAGCTTTTAATTTGCTACCGATTCATTCCCTTCTGTAAAATAATAATAATAATAAAAAAGTAGATTTGTGTCATTTTTCAAAGGTTGAAACTAAATTATTGTTTCTCTTTCTTCAGATCACGAGGCTAAAGATTGACAACAATCCTTTCGCAAAAGGCTTTCGGGATTCCGGTGCAGCACGGAAAGATAAAAGGTTAGCGGTTTAACTCCTTCTCAAATAGTTTATTTCCGATTACTTTATAATTTTCTTTTGATTTGTTTATGACATGTATGAAATGATAAAATTCCTATAAAAAGCAATTATACTCGAAGGAAAATTCAGCCCAAGGACATTTTGACAATTCTACTCATTTTTTATCCCAAGGCATTTTCGGGGCACAAGTGTTATTATTGAAGCTCCCCCCCCCGATAAAAATGACGTCCATTCATAATTTGAAAACAGACAGCATTTAATTATTGTATAATAACCAGCAGTATTTATGTGGTGTCTTCCTTTTTCCGCGATTCCTGTTTCCGAGGTTATCAAAATCATTCCTATTTCCGCAAAATCATCAATCTTCATTACCCACCTTCCGAAAGGGATTACATTGTGGGGACCGAGTGGACCTTGGCCTCTCCCGAAAGGTAGGAAAGCAAAACATTTGTAAACATTTGTAAATTTAAAAAGAAGAACTTTTAAAAGAAATAATCGAAAAATATTTACGATCTCAGATCTTTGCATGAATGAAGATAATATTGTATTTAAAAGGAGAGAGAGACAGATGTTCAAACTCCGATGATTTTGGCATTGAACTAAAAGATTGTTTCCTAAAGTAAAAAACAATATTCTTCCAAAATTCTGCATAAAGGTGAGTTATAATAAAAAAATTTTAGAATAAATATTCGTTCTTAAATGACATTCTTTCTTTTAAAACGACGACTTCTTTGGTCTTAATTACGCTATTGCAGCTTTTAATTCTTTCATTTATGCAAATCCAATAAACGATATTTTCCTTATTTTTATTCTGAATTCGATACTGATAACCTTTATAAAGGGCTAAGTGTTTTTTTCTTTTAGTTCCAATAATGTTTAAAACATTCATATTGATTACTATAAGATGTGAAAATAACAGCTAATATTGTAGCAGAATTACAAATGGAATGAAACTTCAGATTTCAAGAGGAGCCTAAACTAAGACACGTCTTCAGTCTAACGAAGATTAACTTATTCACAAAAGAACAGCCCAGCTCTTCTTAGTGACTCATCATGACATCTCCTTAGGAGCTGTGGGAGGGGTATCTTTTTCTTAATGATATCTTTCTTACATTCTAAACTCATTAAAGATGCATCCTTACAACTTTCAGACAAATGGGATTTTTCACAAAAAATACAAGTATCAGACTTTTTATACTTTTGAAAATTTTCATTACACTTATTACTATTACTACTATTTGCATTAATTAGTTCACATGCAGTTGGAACAACAGGTTTTGTGTCAAAAAACTTATTTTTCTTATTACTTTATCCGAACCCAAACATCACGGGTAAGTTTAACTCTAAATTCAGTTTTACTTCCCTTTTTAGAAAATCAATTAATGACTCCAATCACTCTTACCTGTTGTTTAGGTGACATACCTCGTTGTCTTTCCCAAATTTGTATTAAACCAGCAGGAAGTGCTGATTCCACTAAAGGAAAAAAAACAACTGCAAATTTATCTTTAGTTAAACCGAGTGATTCCAATGCGCGTAGTTGAGTTTGCAACTTGTCATAAGAGTTAATAAGTCTATCTTTGTTTGTCATTGATTACCAGTTTTAATAGCTCTCTAACATAAATTTGAATTAAAACATTTTCATTTCCAAATCGTTCTTTGAGGTACTCCACGGCTTTTTCGTAATTTTCTTCCGTAGCAGGAAAACTTTCCACTATTGCTCTTGGCACAGTTTCAGGTTTCCTAGATTGTAGTAGATAATGAAACTTGTCTCTCTTGTCGATGCAAGTATCTTCATGTATTTTACTAAACCTCGTCCAAAACGTCAACCACTTTCGGGAGTCTCCATCGAACTTCACCAGTTCGATCTCCGGCAGTTTCTGTTTTGCAGCCGTAACTATTCCTGATGAAGAACCGCTATTCGTTGAACCAGTAGAAGGTTGTGAACACTTATCCTTTTTCCTGTTGGCTTTTACTTTCAACGTAGATAATTTATCGTAATATTCTTGAGCTGCACTAAATTCTCTTTCGTATTCTTCTTGAGAACAGCCTTTTTTAAAAGAGTCATCTGTATTTCGTAAAGTTTTATACTTCTCTGAAATTTCCGATATCACGGGAACAGGAAGAATTTTGAAAAACGCGGAAACAGAACTAATTCATTTATATTACCACTAAAAAAAGCTAACTGCGAAAATCAGTTATCCTGCAAATTATCTAGCTCACCTGCAGGTTAACTAGCGTTATTCGTTAAAGTGCGGAAAATTATCTCATTTCTCAAATCCCCTAGTAATCTAGATATTACCTAGATAATCTGCAAATTACCCGCTAGGCGCTCCTTAAAGCGAAAATAAGATCTTTGCTGGAACGACAGCAACGTTTGTGTACTCTTAAATGAATCGATATCTAAAGAATTAAGTTAATACAATCAGTAACTACATACCTCGTGCGTCTTCTGTTCTTTACTGGACTCTTCATCGACTGGGAAAGCCTGAAGTTTTATTCTTTTTGTTTATTCTTTGTATCGTGTTTCATTGCTTAAATCTGTTGATTGTATTAAAAACAAAATTTAACTCTAGTAATTCTTGCCCGTATAATCCTCTCCTATACTGAAGAATTAATTCATTTTTACTGACTACACACTTTTATGTTAGATCGGAAAGGTAAACCTTTCCTTGAATTTCATATTCAAAAATTAAAAAATTTCCTTGAAAAATATTCTTTATTATTTTATTTACTTTTTTGCAGTATATTAATCTAAACTGAAAATGTCTGGAGTGTTTAATTTTATTTAAAAAAATCTTTTTATGTAAAATAAAACTTCCATCCCTCGTGACTGTTTTCAACTTTCGAATGAGTAACAGTTTTGTATATTTTAATTTAAACATTTAAAACAAACAGTAATTGTTTTTGCGTCGTTAATGCTATTTTTTATTAAGATACCGATACTATTTTCTCAGCTTTTAAATTTAATACCTGCTTTTCATAAATAAATATTTCATTCTAGAAGACAAAATTCTATATTTGGTTCACATTCTTATCAAGAAGAATCCCTGACCGCCTCTCCTCCGGACGATGGAAGGGGAGACGAAGCAGAAGACAGCAGTGATAACGAAAATGTTGACGTGGATACTCCAGACAATGGTAAGATGTTTTCCTATTCTAGGTTCTCAGCACCTTTCAATTAAAAGATACTAGGAATTTCATGTTACGGAATCACAAGAAAGCTTAATGCTGTTTTCAGCGACGGTAGCAGTTAAGAATGAGTTCGAAATCCCACCGATTAACCCTTTGCGACACAGTCTGGCCGGTCTGGACCTAAAAACCTTCTGTACACACAGAAAAATTGAATGAAAAAGGAATTATAGGTTACTCTGAACCTTCTTTATTTATAGTAGATGGCAGCTCAACACAAACCAGTCCATATATTTTAGATATGTTTAGCTTTTTTAAGACCCTCATTTTTCAAGGAAATCTTCCAGATTTTTTTAGGGTGTAAAAGGAATTGTTTGAAAAGAAATTTCTATATTATGTTTTTGGTTGAATGCTAATCTCCTTATTCTATATTAGTTTTAAATTTTTACCTTGAAATCTTCCCTAAAATCAAATGGCGAACCCTAGGTGTGCCCAGACCAGGCTCACCGATCATCTAGGAAAACTGTATTCTTTGTTTCTCCGCATCTCATCGGTCAGTTCATTGACAACAATGCTCGTTTCAGCACTCTTTTCGAAGCTCTATTCAATCAGTATGCCCACTTTGGGCCCACAGAATTAAAAGATAATCTTCACAAAATTTTACTTTTGTACTCCTCTAGGCCTAATTAGACTGCCCACCTTTTTTTTTTTTTTTTTTTTTTTTTTTTTTTTTTTTCCCCATCAAAATTCCAACTTTAAAAGGCAGCGTGCCGGAAAGGGTTAAAAAAATGCTTCATTCAACGAAAACTACCAGAATTTGCGTCCACTTTCGAACTATTTCATGCTTACATTTTAGGAAAGAAATACTCGAAGACCTGAAATTTTTTTCATAAGAGATAGAAGGATAATTTTGATGCTTGAAGGATTTTCAGATAAAGAATTAAAGCCATACAAAAGGAAAATTCTTTACTTTTTTTTTTTAGCAAAGAGGGCAAAATGCATGTCGTTTAAAGCAGTGAGTTAAAAAAACGAGTCACCTCTAATGCCAAACTCAACTTTTTTTAAGTTGTTCATTCTTTAGAAGCAAATATATGTGTTATAATAAAAATAATTCGACTCCGTTTCTTAATTATATATAGAAACAGAGAGCATTTTCTACTCATTTCGAGAACATAGCATAGTTAGGTGACAGTTTACAAGTATCTATATCCAGAGATAATTAATCAATACGTTGACTTCCGACCACGAGATGATTACGGCAGTATGCTGTTAAAAGCCCACAACGAGTTACCTCGTTTTCGCAGAATAGCTTTTAAGGGCTTACTACGAGTTAATACTTTCATGGGAGTTTTGTGGGCAACAAAGAGGGTTTACTTATTCTTTATACAAGGTTTTCAAAATATAAGAAATTAAATTAAATATGGCTATAACAATAGATTTTAATTATGATATACTTTCGAACATGTCCTCATTTTCTTTGAACGTTTTATTTCCAGTTAGAAAAGAGATAAATGGTTCTGTAAATTTATAAATAAATGTTAAAGAGCACATTGACATCCAAACTAGATTTTGTTCAAAATATACTTTAGCAGACAACTTGCTAAAATTTAAATTGTGTGAAAGGAAATCATTGATAACAAGCCGACTAGCAGCCGACCGAGCGAATAAGACCGCTGAACACTGGTGGTCCTACCTGGGTTAAAATCCCAAAGAACAGTTTGTCGGCATTTACGTTTCGAGGTTTCCACATGTGTCACATGGATACGAAACTTTCCCTTACAAAATCCTTCACGAAGGAATTCTTCCCCTTCGACAGATATCCTTATGAGCCTTCACGTACTCCAGAACAAGTAAGATACCAAACATAAAAGAAAACTCATCAAAGATTTCAATGACTTAAGAAAAAAAAATTAAGATACTAAAAATAATTTTGCAGTGCATTTAAATAAATTTCTGCACTGTATTAGGAAATTTATTATTAACTGGAACTATGAAAAGTGTTAAACACACAGTAACTTATGCTATTAAAAATACACAGTAACTTACGCTCGCAACAAAAGTTAGCTTTAAGGGGGCTCATACACCTTAACCCCTTATGATCTTCGAATATATGATTGTTGCAAGAATTGGGATATTATATTTATTTCAAAAACAATTACTTCCAACCTTTTTGCAGCTGACTACATAATATAGCTGCTTTGAAAACTTTCGAAAAAGTTTGTGTTGCCAGAAATATTTTTGTAATTTAATCCGCTTTGTGACGAAATGTTTCGTCATGTTTCCACCTTGCGCGCATGATATTTTAAAAATGGCTAATGGTATATACTTGAAATTGGATGGAATTCTTTATATGGGTCTAACTGAACCTAAAATCTGATAAATATTTTAATATTAAAAAATTGTATGGACGAAAACATTACAGACTTTTTTAATAAAGTACATTTTATAAACTCAACTCCAAATAAAGTAAAAATTTAACATGAAATTCTTAAAATGTTTGGTTCACAGTAGTTTCCAAATGTTATAAAAGCCACATATTAAATATGGAATTAAATTACGCAACAGAATGTTTTAAACTGTGCGCGCAAAGTGGAAACATGACGAACAATTTTGTCACAAAGAGGATTAAATTATAAAAATATTTGTGGCAACACAAAACTTTCTGATTACTATTTCAAAAAGCAGCTATATTATGTAATCAGCTGTAAAAGGTTGGAAGTAATTGCTTTTAAAATAAATAAGTTATCCCAATTCTTGCAACAGTCTCATATTCGATGATCTTATGGTTTTTAAGGTTTATGAGTCCCCTTAACTAAAAGCAGCTTACGCTGGAAATACTTTACTTAGAAACTATACTAAGAAAAAATTACGAATAACCGTAACAAAAATACGAAAAATCGATGAAGAGGATTTTCATGTAACACTATTCTAAATCGTTATTAGCCAAGGAAGCGTTAAATTGCATTTTGTAAACCTACGTTGCTTTCCTAAAAAAAGAGAAATGTTGAGGCCCCTAATGAATAATTAATAGTGAAATGGAAGTTCATTGAATATGCAACTTATTTCATGTTAGCTCTACCTTCTGGACAACTAAACTGGTTCGTCAAATCCTCACTGTTACCCAATAAATTTTCATCATTCATTTTTTTTAGCAAAAATGGTACAGAAGTTTAGATACGTAGCTTTTCAGTTAACTCTGCTTGCTGAAAGGTTTCTACAGAGATTGTTTTCGTAATGTTTCCCTGCTGATTTTCTCCTTTTGAGTAAGCTAGCGAATGAGAATGAAATATCCTAAGGGAAAATTACAATCAGTCTCCAGACATTAAACATAAATATATTTTCCTTAAGATATGATAAATGGGGTGTTTGAATTTTACTGCCGTTTGTAGAATTTTCAGATTTGCGCCATATTCGGATGCAACGTTTCAAATAGGAACGTTGGTATGTAAAATGAAAAATTGGCTTCCATTTCGGTGGTATTCAGCTCGAATCATTAGTTTTCTCTTCAAATGTTTAAAAACAAAATCACTCACTAAAGTCTAGTCACGTCATTTACTTTTTAAAGACTCTCTGTAGTTCGTACTGGAGACAACGCCGTCTCCGAAATTAAACACTAGTTACCAGTCATAGTCAGCTTGTGTGGTCTGCTTTAATCCTCTAAATTATGACGGCAAATCTTACGTTTTTGACTTCTCGGAAAATCTCTACATAGGCTGTTCGCACATTTTTTACACGATTTTCCTTTGCTATAAAACAAAATCATCTCCTTCGACCTTTTTTTTAATACAAATATAATTTTGAAAATATGAATTATCGTCTGCTGCTTGACAGTTTTGTTTTCAGGCAAAATGTCGCTTTTAAAGAAGCAATGGATGGAAGGCTATCTTTGTGTTTTCTCCGAAGTAAATTATTCGTATCTAGTTCTAATAAAAAAAGCTGGAAAAGCCATGGTTTTTCGCTATCTAAAGCTACGATAAGTAATATTGTTAACAATAAAGGGAAAAAACAACAAAATTTTGTTTCGAGTTAAAATATTTTTCCAGATACATATATAAGTTAAAAACGGAATGTTTCAAATGTTGCAAAGGTAAGTTCTTTAATGTTAAAAAAAATTAATGAAAAACATCGAAGGACAATTGTAAAATCACCAAAATACTCAGTGTTAACTATAAACAAAGTGATTCATCTGATTTCAACCTTAAAAAGGCGAGAAAACATAACGTGCATCGTCTAGCTTTAAGACCTACCGCCGAACTCGGAAAGCGCTGGTTAATTACGCATTTATTACAAAAATTTATCCGGACAAATGTGGAAAAATATTGTTATAATAGACGAATCTTGGGTACATTTAAATCAGTGCAATAAAAAGGGATCCATTTATTATCATCAAAGAGAAGAAAAATTTCTTAAAACGTGGTTCAAAAAATCTAAAAGTGTTCCAAAGGGATCTATGATTATTCCTGGTTTCTCATATAACGGCAATTTTAAAAGAAAAATCTGATGCGTACACAGCATGACTTTCTTGCACGGAATATTAAATCATATGCATTTTTTCTTGTATTTCATTTAAACTTATTGGATTGAATTAAATCTACTTCGGCGATAGCGCATAAACTACAACAGAATAAATGCACTCTTTAAAATTCACTATATTTGTTTTACCATAGCGACACTCTGGCGCTAGGCTCACTCAACAGCGTTATATTTCGTTCATTATAACTCAGAAAGCACAAAATTTATATCATTTCAGAAATTATCTAATCGTTGTCACGTGTTCTATTCAAATACTATAATAAACCTAAAACGACGTATAAATGAAATCAAGCAAACAAAACAAAAAAGAAACAGTTTTTCACAGACAATTCAGTATTTCTCATTCAATTAATTCAGTTTTCACTTCCCGACAAGTCAAAAATATATAAAAACTCAAACTATCTATATTAAAAATTACGAAGTAAACCTGAAACACTTATTTCCTCGAATAAATTCCAGAATGGATTAAGCATGAT